CCCCGCCCCAGTCCCCCCCTGCCTGTGGCCCTGCTCCTTGAGGATACTCCCACCCATCTGCACAAGCACCTCATAGTCAAATCTTCTGCTATAAGTGAGCTTTCATGGACTGGACCTTTGGCAACCATGCCATTTTGTGACCTTTCATCCCCTGTTCTCTCCAGGGGTGTTTGGACCAGAAGTCCAAGGGTCATTTTGTCATTTTGGCCTATAATCAGGTTTGTCATAATTTATATCTTATGAGACTTTAGGGATAAAATCACTGTCATTTTAAAGGTCCTCAATGAAACATTCTCAAGAATAGCATCTCCCAGTTTTTTGTTTCCATCGTGCAATGTCATTTGTGATTCCAGACACTATAGATGTACAGCAAATACACAGGATCATTTTACTGAGAATGTGGCACAGTGGATAATACCATGGGGACATATAGGGAGTACATCAGGCATACACAGAAGTAAGGAAGAGAGCACAAAATAACTAAAATTGGGACCCAGTATGGCAAGGGAGTACCAGCAGTACTGATGCATTCTGGTGGCTCAGTAAGAAGACTTTCTAAATTGGCAGCTAAGGACTCCTTATGGTCATGTTACACACACAGGTTTGTAGAAGACATGTCTAGAATGTACAGAACTGCCTGTAATAGCTAGCTACAGAAGAGCTGTTATAGCTAGCTATAGTGCCCATTAGTGCAACTACAGATCACTGCATTATGTAACATTAACCCCCCACACACACACATTCACACCTGAGCATTTGTTTCCCATGTTTGACAGTCATCCCCATTATTTCAATAGGTCCCTGGACTTATGCCAAATGTGTGAAGGTAGTACATGACACAAATTTTGATACGTGTGTTCCAAACCTGTTTCCCATGCATTTGTGCACATTCCCATGCTTGTGAACGTGCATTGAAAAAAAAACTCTGCCACGTTTAGGGTGTCATTAATTAGAAATGGCACCGCAAGTGTGTTCAGCGTTTGTGCACTTTTCATGAATGCACGTCAAAGCATGTGTGAAAGGGGACTCGGAATTTATTGCAGCTGCTGAATTCTGAATCTAGCTTCAAACACCAACAAAATCTTTCTCTGCACCAACTGCAAATCACCGACATTGATGTGGCACAGATGACTCATTCCTTGGAACAAAATGGCAATTCTGTAGCTGTTAATCTCTGCTACAAAATTACTTATGAGGCATGTACATAAAACCATTGCATGTAGTCATTTTATTTGCTGCTATAAATATTATCTGCTTTCTCATTCCTGCAGAATATTATCTGCTGTCCCATTTCATTACTCCTTGTTATGTTGTACATATTTACATAACTTTTTACATTATGCAACATATTCAAGAATCCTTATTAAAGCTTGGTTAAAATTGATAAAAATTGTAGCAAAGATCTCACAGGTGAGGTTGCATCTTCTTTTTTATAAATGGGCACTCATCTTAGAAAAAAAAACGTTCTGCTAGCGCGGGGGCAACAGAAAGGAGTGGCATTTGGGAACACACAGGGTCAGGCTAAATTACCCTCAGGATACAACTACAATCTTACATCAGGAACAGATAACAGTAGAAAACACATGTCTGCTGGTGGCACTGTGGTGCTTGGATCTGAAGTCGGTAGTCCCAGTGTCCACTAGCAGGTGTCTCACAGCAGCCAGCTGCCCTTGGCAAGTAATCTCCACCTAAGTTGGGTGCTGGGAGGGTTTTTAGCCCCTCCTTGAGAAGCTCATTTTGCCTCAGCATTGTTCCTGTGTGCCCTGTTTCCATGCTAGCTGTCCTGTGAACCTGTTAACCTGATCCTAATTCTCATCCTGATTTCTGTGACCCCTCTGATTTGGCTTTTCCTGGTATCTGTTCCCTTTGCTGCCTGGCAATGCTTACCTATTTCATGCTCATTATTGTATATAGATGGTTTGTTAGGTATTCACACTGCGCTCGTGTGGTTGGTTGGTTGTCACCTGCGTTGCTCACAATAAATCTTGTTTTTTCACTTAATTTGGGGTTCAAGTGTCTGTGGTGCAATCTAGTTATTTGGTCACATCTGTTTTAAAGGATACCCGCAGTTGGTATCCTGACATAAGGTCTTAATTGTTGTTGATCATACTAAGCAAAGTTGTCTTCTACCACTGGTGACTAAAGTCTAAATACACAAACTATGAGAGATAATATTATCAGACATGTATCTGTTCCTGAAGATTATGTGGGTAAGTTTAAAGCTGTATTTACTGTGAATCTTTTTTTTTACCTGTTCTAAACTCTGAGACCTGTACACTAGCCAAGATCTGGTGTTTCCAGGATAAGATATTGCATGGAATTTTAATGTGAAATGTATGCAGCAAAATCTCAGTGTCAAACACTATTGATTTGTTTCCACAGTGGCTTGAATTGAATCTGTTACCAGGCTATGGCCATTCAAGTGTTTACATGTTCTCAACAAGCTGTAAATGAGCTTTAAAACAAGCCCACATTGACCTCTGTAGCTGCATGCGCTGTTGAGCAATCCACCCTCAGGGTTCACAGCAGAAGCACTGAGGTCCTTCCATTAGCAGCTCCAGCTCTGTGTTTACATTATAGATGAGAAGGCTTGAAGGCTGCTGATTCACTACTGGGATAGGGTACAGGGGGAGTTGAGCTCCCAGAGATAACAGCTTCAGTATTTCTGCTGTGAACATTGAGGATACATCTCTCCACAGTGGCTACAGCTACAAATGTCAGTGGGTTCTTGTTGCAAAGCTCATTTACCACTTGTTAAGAATATGTATTCTCCATAGTATGAATTGCATACTATGCAAGTGCTATTTGTGATCTAAAGAAAGATGTGCCATTAATTGGCCACATCTGTATATAAGATGCCATAAAGATGGATAGCATGCATACCAAGAAAGGTTTTTTCCAGATAACAATTATAATGACAGCACGTAAAAA